AGTGTCAGAAGATGAGCCCCTCAGATTGGAAAGCACTTACAATACAGCTGGGGAAGAGCTGACGACGCAAATAGAGCGACATTTGTAGGACGTTCATTTGCTGATGAAGCACAACTGTAACCATGAAGAGAAACTACTGTAAATGTCCATTAATAATCAGAATATGCAATGTACAAAGTATGAATCTAGGAAAATTGGAAATTATCAAAAAAGAAATGGAATGCATAAACATTGATAGCCTAGGCATTTGTGAGCTGAAATGGACTGGTCTTGGTCATTTTGAATCTGAGAATCACATGGTTTACTATGCCGGGAATGACAGATTGAACAGGAATGGTGTCACATTCATCAACCAAAAGACCATATCAAGGTTTGTCTTGAAGTACAATGAGTTTCTGATAGGATAATCCACACACCTATAAGAAAGACCAGATAATACCACTATTATATAAATGTACACATCAACCACTAAAGCCAGTGATGACAAAATTGAAGAATGCTGCCATCTTCTTCAGGATGAAATTGATCAAACATGCAATCAAGATGTGTTGGTAATTACTGCTAACTGCAATGCAAAGGTTGGAAACAAAGAGGAAGGGTAGTAGTTAGACACTAATGGCGTTGTCTAACTATTAAACAATGCAAGGCCTTTTTTAAACAACGTAAAAGATGATTATACTGAAATCAGATTGACTAAATCTGTGGAAAGAGACAGTGGAAAAGTTCCATATCATTTGTCGAAACAAGGCCAGGGTGGAATAGACCATCAATTGCTCATACGCAATTTCAGGCTGAAGCCAAAGAAAATTAAAACAAGTCCACAAGAGTCAAAATATGACCTTGAATATATCTCACCTGAATTTAGAGATCATCTGAAGAACAGATTTGATGCTTCAGAAAATAAAGACCAAAGTTGTGGGATGACATGAACATCTAGGGAAAGAAAATAAAAGGTCATTAAAAAGACAGGGAAGAAACAAAGTCTCAAGATGAAAGAACTGAGGGGAAAAAAATTGAGCCTCGACTTGCAGTACTGGAACATTCTTTGGAAAAATATATTGAATGATGCAGAATGCATCAAAAGAAGATGGAAGGAATACACGGAGTCACTGTACCAAAGAGAAACAGTCAGTGTTCAGCTATTTCAAGAAGTAG